CCCTTGAAAAAGCCTCCCAGGGACTGCCTTTTCTCAGCCTTCTTGCAGGGAGGGTCCTTGGCGGGGTCGCTGCCGTTGTGGACGGAGTAGGGGTCGGTGGCCAGTGGCTCCCGAGGCTCGGGCTGCTCCCTGCTCTCCTTGCTGCTCTTCTTGCCCAGTTCCAGCGTGAATTTTCTGTCCTTGGAGCCCTCCTTGCTCCTCTGGCCCCCAGGGTCGCTGTCAGATGGGGCAAGGGGCTTTTCCGTGGCATTCAGGGTCTGCAAGAGTTTCAGAGCAGGGTTATTGTTAGTGGGGAATAAAAAGGGTTTGAAGGAGAATGGTGAATACATCAGAGAAAAAAAAAATACAGCGATAAAAGGGCACCTGGCAGGCAGAAATCCTGCTGTTCCCCAGGTTTTCACTGACACAGGTTGGGATGAATTCCTGCAGTGCTGGCTCCCTGAGCTGATGGAATTAACTGAGCAAGGATGGCAAGATCCAACCCTCCCTGTGCAGAACAACTTCATTTCTGTGCCTGATGCTGCTTCAGGAGGCACAGAAATGCACAGAGAGCCACAAGCGTGTGCTGCCCACTGAAATACCCCCAGGGTGCACACCCCAAACACCAAAAAGTGCAAAGAAAATGCGTGGTAGAGGAAAAAACACTAAAAGACACCATCGAGTAAAACATAAAAACAAACCTGCAAAACTGCAACACTCTATCCCAAAAATTAACAACACAAGGCCACAGCACCCAGAAAATTTCATGTCCAAGTGCAAAGAAAGAGACAGGAAATTTTCCCAAAAAAAACCCACAATCACAAAGCACCAGTCAATAGCAATGGAAAAGATTCTGGAACCTGGRGAARTTCAGGATAYWYTTGAAGTTCAYAGGARAAAAATCTTAYCTGGCAAACAAAGGATCAAACAATAAAATTGTCTGTGTTTGGAAAGCAGTAAATGAGGATGTTTTTGCCATGAAATCTGTTTGCAAATGGGATTTTTTTTTTAAATGCCAAAAAGAAATCCCATATGGCTTTATTTATTAACATCATTAAAACAGCACAAATTTGCCATGTTGAAAAGCTGGAAATCTCACATCTGCCCTCAGGGCATGGCCCGAGCTTAATGCTGTGTATTTTTCCAGCTTTGGGAATTTTACCATTAGTCTTGAAATATCTGGTGGTGTTCTGAAGGCCTGGGGTTATGTGCTAACATGACARGCTCAGCTTTCATTCAAAACAAAACCAGTTTTAGATGTCAGGATTTCAGAGCAAACCCTGAAAGCAGAAACTCTAGAGAAACAAAATGCAAATATACCTCTCATATTTAAAAAAAAATATAGTTCAAGCCTGCCTGATTTTGGGGAAACAAGAATGAGAGGGCACAGCACTAGTGCTTGGCTTTTGCACTCAATTCAYCTTTCCAATCTTAAAAAACTCAATTAAATAACAATTTTTTTTAAAAAAATTACATCCAAAAATCCTTTAAAACTCCATTAAATTACAGAACCATTTCATCCATTCGGTCCTGACCAGGAAGCTCAAGTCCTCACCAGAATATAAGGTTGGAATTATTTCTTTTTCCAAAGACAGATACATGTGGGTAAACATTTCCTCACATCTGGATTTATCTCATTTAAAATTCAAAACATCCAGTTAGAAGCTTTGTGCAGAAGAACACAAAGCCAGGGAGATGGAAAGGGGATCAGATTTATAATTCCTTAAARTAAATTCAGTAAGGTCAGGGTTGAACAGGGGCTGCACACACACCACACACCCCACCTTTGTGGGGTCACCTCCCCTGGAAGGGACACCCAACTGGGGACACCTTGGGGAGCCCAGGGGATGGAGGAGCTCTGCCAGCACCAGGATGGACACAAAAAGAGATTTAATTGTCTCTACCAGCACGAGGATGGTCACAAAAGTAGATTTAATGTTGTTTCTGCCAGCACAAGGATGGACACAAAGGCAGATTGAACAGATYTGATGTTGTCCCTTTTGCTCAGCTGCACTCTCAGCCCCAGCAGGTGATTCCCAAGCCCCTTCTCACTCTCCCTGGCCTCAGCTCACCTTTGRAAAGTCTCTTTGGTGCAGCTGCAAGCTTTCAATATTTGTATTTCCAATTCTTTTCAGCGATCAACACAGCATCCCAAATGCTGAGTCTGGAGACAGCCGAGTTCAAAGGGGCCAGAAGAGCCTGGAACCCTCAGAAACACCCTGTGAAATCTGTGGCTTTGCTCTGGGTGTAAAATTAGAGCCTTCCTCCCCCACGTGCCTGAGACAGCACCACAGCCCGAGCAGGGATACAGCAGRACCATTCCTGAGAGCAGGTGGGGCCTTTGATGTCACACAAAACACTTTTAAAAAATATTCATAATACATTTCCCAGGAAAAAAAAAAAAAAGCCAAAAAAAAAACCCTATCAGAGAATCTCTTTGAGGTGTTTCATATGAACCTTGAAAGGCAGGAAATTGGCATTYTGATATGGATGGGAGCAGCTCAGGAAATGCAGAGTGAGGCCCAGGAATAAGGAAAGATGTCAATGTTCCTTATTGCAAAGGGGGGGCTGCTCCTGGCACACTGCTTTGCCTCCCTCAGCATTAGCAGTGCCACTGAAATTAGAAAAAGTAATTTTTTTTTAGCATTTTCCTCATTATTTTACAGCAGCCCTTAATGCAAGGMTGGTTTTTAAGCCCAGAATTCCTGCAGGTTTTGAAGAAATGTTGAAATGCATTTCTGGAGGGTACAGAATGGCAGGGATGGAAAGGGGAGAAGAATCACAGCATTCCAGAGACACCGCAGCGTAATTTAGAGAAACCCTTTCAAAGAAATCCCCAAAAAAGGAAGAAGTCAGCAGCAGATCCAGCTTTCCTTGGGCTTTTCTGTGTAACAAAACTGTTCTGATTTACACCAGAGCAATGGAGAGAAGGAGGAAAAGCAATAATTTGATTAACAGAAATGGAAGGACACTGGCTGCTCATTAAAATAATAAAATAGATCCAGAACTGTAATTTTTACTTCCTTACCCAGATCACTTCACAAAACTCTTGTAGGAAATAAGGATTCAATGTCACAAAACAAGACCTTCCATATCTGGCTCTTAGAGATATAATTCATAAAAATTAACCTTAATGGYATCAGCCATTGTGAAAATAGGAAGAGAGAGAAATGATTTTGCTGTCATTTGAAAAATGAAATTCTGAAATGTCAGTTTTGAATACAACTTCAGTTTTTCTCTTAAAGGAAACACTGCACACAGATCCTTGTTTTATCTCTCGTTACTGAGAGATAAATCCTTATGGATATCTTCATTTGCAGCAGAGGGTTTGGCTCTCAAGTGAATAATATTTGTATTTCCAATGAAAATCTGATTTTTGGGAAGCATTTTCAAAGCCATGAAGAATACAATGTAAACGCCACACCCAAAGATTGGGTTGGCTTTTATGAACATATAATGAAAAGAACAAAACCAGAATAAGAAACAAATATTTTGATGGCTTTTGTTAATGGCAGTGAGCAGTTTTCATTCTCACTTTCATTTCTCTTTTGCAGATTTTCCACCTAGACGATTCTTGCCTCAGAAGACAAGTAAATCGACAAAGTAAAAATAATTCTGTGTCTATTCAGTTCCACTGCCTGAGCCAAGGTACTTRCAGAAAGTCAAACAGCAGAAAAAACCTGAACATAAATCCACAAATTATTTAAAGAAGAGGAACACACCCGGAAAAATATTTTTTTTAAAAAATATGATGTTGACTCTTTAAAAATCGTGCTAAATAGTAAGAGTAGATAAAAGAAATAGAGAAGTAATGTGTAAATATATGAAGCTCAGTGGGTATTGCACGTTTCTCTCAGTGAATTTGACATTTCCAGAGGTAAAGCTGTGTGGAAGGAGGTGACAAGAACCCATCACCAGAGCATGAAAATGTCCAGGCCAAAATAAAAAATCCACTTACGTGGTGGCTGGGGCTGGGGCCATTCCCCTCCTCTGAACGGGGTGTCCCTCCATCCCCCTTGACTGACTAAAACAACAAAGGGTCCAATGTTTGAGATGTTCATTCAACAGAAAATCACAGAGGAATCAGGAGCTGAGCTGAGGGTGCTCCTTACAACCCTGACACAGAACCAGGCACTTCAGCAACTCCCTTCAGCAGATCTCCCCATCCCAGGGGTGCTTTGGGATGGTTCTTCTCTCTGGGATTATCTCCTGCAAGGTTTCCCTTCAAGGCCTGAGCAGGGATCATTTCAGCCGCTGAACACGACTCTGCTGTCGGCCCTGCTGCTGGAATTTTCTAGGAAAAAGCTTTTCTGAGCCAAATCCATCCTACAGGAGCTGGTGGGATTTCCTCTCTATTTACCCATCCCACTAAGTGCATGTGCTGTGAATAATTAAAGCCCACTCAGCTTTACAGGGATGTTTTCATATCAATATCCATTTAATCCCAATCTTTGCTTTCCAGTTTATTCCTGCAGTCCCAACGCATCTAAATCACAAACCTCCTTCATTCCCACTCTTCCCAGCCTGGACAATGCAAGCAGAGCCTGAGGCTGCAGCACTGGAAGGTCACTCAGAGCAAACCCTGACTCTGAAATATCATTTTAAGGTAAAATCCTTTATTTCCATCTGGATTTAGAAGTGAGAAAACCCTGTTTGACAAAACTGAGTAWATGTTACAAGCTTTGTGAGAATTAAGTTAAGCTTAAGTTACAATTAGTGCTGCAAAAGAGACAACAGGAATGTGCATTTGTAATTAAAAAACTGTTGGAGGGTTCAGAGTGTTCTCCTGGGTGCCACAGAAGGCACAGAGCTTGCCAGCAGAGCGTAAAATAAACTCCAGGATTTCAGAGTGCCCAAATTTAAATGTCATTTTTCATTGCAGAAGTTCAATGAAAACAATGAAAGGATGTGACTTTTGTTCTAAAGATAGCTCAGGCGGAATTGTGGTTTTCTGCAGCTCRTGCATTTGTAACTCAAAAGCACAACAGCATCAGATCCCACAAATGGTGTCTCTGCAAGGACCTGTTTCAGACCCTGATTTTCCTCCAAAAACCACGGGAAATCGATATATGGCAGCAACAGGAGAGAAAACTGAACCACTCCTCGATAATTCATGGCTTTTGTGGGAAATATCCTGTGTGTGGAAGGTGCCACTGCTGGGCCTGGTGTGTGTGCTCGTGATGCTTTATCTGAGCAGGAGGCTGCAGACGTGGAGGGGAGGAAGCACAGTGTGGTCTGTGCTTGAGCTGGCTCCAGACTGTGAAGATGTGCTCTGATAACATCTACTCTGCAYTGCTACTTCAGCAAGTCTYTAAATACCTTCAGAAAAAGAAATTCCTGCTCTAAGAGGAATCAGTGTAACCTTTTTGCTCATGAACACACCAAACCCAGAAAAAAATAGCCCTGCTTTAGTCAACCTCTCTAATCCATGTCTTATTTTTATTATTTATTATTTTAAACCAAAAATAGCAGAGTAAAGACCTTGAGGTCTAGACAAAGCTCCCTCTCGCTGTCACTTAGACAAAGACAAAACAATCCCAAGGATTTTTCTCCAGAACACTGCTGACCTCTTATCCTTGCCTTTGGTCACTTGGGATTGCTGCTGGCCAAGGCCCCCCAAAAGTTTTCTGCAGCAATGAGCATGGATTAGGATGGTTTTAAATGGAGGAGGGTGGGGACAGCCAATACCCCTGCTACATTTTCATCAATAGTSGTGACAATATAAAATAGTTCTTCTTGATTCTAAATGTTATTTATTGGCTGTGTGGGGAAGCAGGCCAGCACAGACTCTGCAGGTGATTTGGGAATGATTTTCCTGTGGGAAGCAGGATCAGATCCCACTCAATGCCTTTCCTTTTTCCCATCTATTGGGTCTTTGCAGCATGCTTTCCTTGCACGTGCCAGTTTACCTGACTCACAGAAAATGCCAGAAAAAGCTGTGCTGCTCAAAATACAGCTCCCTGAAGGCACTGCAGGATGGGACACTGCACAGGGAGCTTTGACAGCGCCGTGGCCAACGGGAGATGGGACAAAAAAAATGGGAGATGGGGCTGGGGATGGGAGATGGGACAAGAAAATGGGGCTGGAGATGAGATGGGAGATGGGGCTGGAGATGGGAGATGGGGCTGGAGATGGGGCTGGGGATGGGGCAGGAAAATAGGGCAGGAAATGGGGCTGGAGATGGGACTGTGGCTGGAGATGGGGCAGGAAAATGGGGCTGGAGATGGGGCTGGAGATGGGAGATGAGGCTGGGGATGGGGCAGGAAAATAGGGCTGGAAAATGAGGCTGGAAACGGGACTGGAGATGGAACTGGGGCTGGGAGATGGGACTGGGGATGGGACTGGGGATGGGACTGGGGCTGCAGATAGGACTGGAGATGGTTCCTCCAGGAGCATCCCACAGGAGATGCTGTTTGTACAAGGGACCATCCTCGGTGTCACCACCCTTAGAGCACCCGGGGCCACCTGGGTGGGGCAAAAGCCACCGGAGCCGTGGGGACGTTCCGGGAGGAGCCGCGAGAGGGAGATGCAGGCCGGGGAATGCGCGGGGGGATGCGGGAGGAGCTCCAGCCGCGCCTCCCGAGCATCCCTGAGCCCTCCCAGAGCCGCGCAAAGGGGTCACCCCCAGCCCCCAGCGATTGCCTCCCTCTGTGCTCCCGAGGGAAAAGGAAAAGCTGCGCTTACCAGCTTAAAAAACTTCCTCAGATTGGCCTTGGGGGTTTTGCTCTCTGGTCCTCGTGGTTTCAGCTCGGCCGTTTCCATGCTCCTGCTCTCGTCCCTGTCGGGCACTGCTGCCTCGGGAGCCGCCTCTGCCTTCTCATTGCTCACAGCTTCTGCTTCTTCTGAGGAGTTCTGGCGGTGGGGAAAAGTGGGAAAAACACTCAGACTCAATCCATTAGGAGTTGGTTGCTTCTTTAAATAATTTTACAATCAAACAGGACATAAAAGAATCCTCAGCTTCAGCGAACTCTCCATGTTTCTTCAGGAATTTAATGCCAACAGGAAAAAAAAAAAAGCAAAAAAGTATTAAAAACCTCCCATTCTATATAAATAGAAAATATATAAATAGAAAATATATAAATAGAAAATATATAAATAGAAATTTTTTTTTCTATTTATAGAAATATAAATAGAAAATATATTCTTTCTATATAAAGAAATAACCTTTCTTGAGTTCCTGGTTCCCAAACACAAGACTTTAGCTTTGATTACAATTTTAAAAGATAATTTAAACGAAATCTGCCCAGTTAAATGAGGGGGAGTGAACTATTCAGAGATGGAATTGTTTAAAGTATCAGGGATTTTTTTGCACATTTCTTCAGGAAATTCTTCTGCAGGACAAGGGGAAATRGCTTCACCCTGGAAGGAGGGGAATTTATGTTGGATGCAGAGGAAATTCTTCCCTGTTGGGGTGGGGAGGCCCTGGCACAGGGTGCCCAGAGCAGCTGTGGGTGCCCCTGGATCCCTGGCAGTGCCCAAGGCCAGGCTGGATGGGGTTTGGAACACCCTGGGACAGGGGAAGTGTCCCTGGCATGGCAGGGGTGGCATTTGATAAGCTTTAAGGTCCTTCCAACCCAAACCATTCCCTGATTCTACGTTCTGCTTCACCTAGTAAATAACCAATTTGCCATTTGCACTCTTAGTAAAAATAGCATGACTTTTCTGCAGTTGTATAGCAAGAGTTGCTTAAAATTCAAGTTTTTAAAGAAAACACATCTGCTTTTAAAGGCAGCTCCCAGAGCAGGCTAAAAAATGCTGCCTTGATCACCTTCCACCCTGGCCTGGCCTGCTTTGATCAGATAAATTGTGAAGAATCATGTTTCTCTGCCCTGATCAGATCTCTACAAAGCCTTCAATGCAGGTTTCCAACACAAATATTGGAAATTACTCACTGTAATTTCCTATTAGTATTCCTTCTGAAAAAAAGAAATATGCTGGCACAGCAAATATTCAAGTAACAGTTCTGAAAATTCTCGTGAAGACTGATCAGGAAATGGGGCAAATACAAAGTGGCCCCCAGCTGAGAAGCTGAATCAGGAATTTTTCRTTTTCCTTTTCCACATTTATTCATCTGCAGTCAGAGCAGCAGCACTAACAGCAACGTGTTGACAGGCACTTCATTAGCTGCACTTTGAAGTGAAAGCTCATCAGAAGATGGATATTTAAGAGRCTGCCTGGAAAGAGAAGCTGGATCTGAATCCTGGATCTATTGAGTGTTGTGGGTGCTGTTTGTTAGTTCAAAAGAAAAACKACTCCTGACTGAATTATCCACCTATGTGAGCTGGGATTCTCCATCCTAGCAAAAGGACAGTGCATGAAATGTGCCCGAAAAAGAGAAAATCACTGCAGAAAAACCCCACGGAAAGTTCAAACCAAGCTGAATTTGAGGCCAGCCTGTTGTCTCTTTGGTTTTTGTACATCTCTCCTCATTTTATTTCATTTCAAGCTGACTGAGATTCTCATCCTAGCAAAAGGACAGTGCATGAAATGTGCCCGAAAAAGAGAAAATCACTGCAGAAAAACCCCACAGAAAGTTCAAACCAAGCTGAGTTTGAGGCCAGCCTGTTGTCTCTTTGGTTTTTGTACATCCCTCCTCACTTTTTTAGTTTCAAGCTGCCTGGGTCACCAGGGTGCTTCCCCAGTACCTTTTTCCAGAAGAGCTTGCTCAGGGGCAGGGGAGTGGCCGAGCCCTTGTCCTTGGTGGCCTCCCGGGGGGGTTCAGTGGTCACTCCCTGAGGAGGGGCCACAACCTCYGGGGCTTTTGGGTTCTGCTTCGCTGGCGGCTCTTGGGAGGCAGGGAGGTTTCTGTCTGATTTCACAGAGGGAATGGGAGGCTGCTCAGGGCTCTGGGGAAAAAAAGGACATGGATGTTGTGGAGAATGAGGTCCAGAATGTTCAGGCATCACCTGGGCCAGGTGAGCACCACCTCTCCCCASCCACGACACCTGGAACAGAGAAAGCCAAAGACACAGCAAACCCACCCCCAGAACAGAAATAAAGAAACCCCACATGACAGCAAGAATCCCCCGTTTCCTGTGTTACCCAGAAAACTCCAACCCTCCTACTCACTTTGGTGTTGGTTGTCTGTTGGGTTTCTTTCRCAGCCTGCAGGGAAACAAAACACAAAGCTGAGTCTGTCTGAGGCAACGTCAGCACTCGCYGCTGCACAGCTCAGGAATTGTCTGTGGCATCAATTATTTGAGTTTTAGTGAATGTGTGTGCAAGTCCTGGCTCCTGCAGCCATGGAAACTGATCCCTGGAAGAGTGGAGGGTGTCAGAGGAATGCCAGATCCCATCCTTGTACCTGCACCAGCCTGGTGCTGCACTCTTCATGCTTGTAGTCCTCAGCTTCTTTAAAAATACCTATATTTATAAAAGCATTCCCATATTACATATGTTCCCAGCTCAGGTAAATCATGACACAGAATTTTATGGCATTAACAGATTTTTCTGTGCCAGGTCTGCGTGTGCAGCTCCAGGGCACACGGACACACCGGAGCTGGGTGTTTGCCATGGGAACCCCACACCATCAGGGATGTGCTCCCATCACCTTCCAGCTGGAGGCTTTGATTTTTGGGACACAAAACAGGCAGCACACAAAAACCTGGAAACTGTGGGCACAGACCAGCCCTGGCTTTGTAATGCAGCAGGAGGGGCAGCTCTGCAAGGAGAAGCTCTGCAGGTGCTGGAGGTTGGCTCCACCAATCCTCTCATATTTTTGGGCATGAGGTGGCGTTTTCTCTTTTGTAAAAACATTGCTGTGAGTGATGGAGCTCCCAATTTCATTAAAATACACAAATCCAGGAGGGATCTGGTTAAATTCCTCCTTGGCCAGGGACATCCACAGCATCTCTTGCTCCTCACACCCAGCAGAGCTCACGCTGAAGAAGAATTACCTGAGCTGTACAAAACAAATCATCCAGCCCTAGGCTGAGCCCAGGTTTGAGCAGCTGCCACAGTTCCTGACAGAACAGGAATGATTTGGCAGGGCAGCTCTCTGGCAGGAGCCAAGAGCTCCTAGAGCTGTGCTCAGCTCTAACAAACAAGGTCCAAAGCAGGAGGTGGACAAAAGTGTGATGGTGCCCTGGGCTGGTTTCAGCTTTAGTGCTCCAAGTGAGTGATCARCCCTTCTCTTCCAAGGAAAAATTCCATAAATCTGCACAGTTACACTGCAAAATTAGCATGTAATGAAAGGCAAATACACATGGATGGGAAGAGCATCACAAGGTGATTTAAAGTTAGTATTTTGGTAACACAGGAGACTGAAAAACAATGTTTCTGTTAACCTAAGCTGAACTGAGTAGAGAAGTGTATTTTGGAAGACTCACAGAGAAAGCACTTTCAGAGGAGACACTGAAGTGTTTTAACACACAAATATCCATTAAAATGATAATTTTGAATAAAGGAATTGGTTACCTATTCACCCAGTCCATATATCATCTAAAGCATTTCAAATTTAACAATATAAACTCTATTTTTAATGTATTTTTTTATTAGAAGTGGTAACTCCAGGGCCTGCCTGTCACATCACTGGCTCTGATCTGAACAGCCACTTTTATTCAGCCTTACAAGCAAATTATTGGCACCATTTAAACCA